GCTGTGATGCCATGGGACTCTACCCAGGGGGACAGCTTGAGGCCCTGTCTCAAAAAAAAAAAAAAAAAAAGAAAGAAAAAGAAAGATAATTGGCTCATGGTCAGGGGCTTACCAAATGTACACTTAATTTTCTCTTCATTTTGTCTTTTTTCCTATTTATCTTATTGGGAATTTATTTTAATGACAATAACGTTGTGAAATTAAGTTCTTTTAAATAGCAAGAAAATTATGGCAGTGCATTTATGAAGTGAGGCTTCTACATGATTCGTTACATCTCTTTTGCTATTTATTAAATTGCTATCTATTATAGTATTAATTAATTTCACTGCATTATGTATCTTTTTTACCACTAGAATCACACACGATCGTGGCTTTACAATATGCTTTGATATTGCTTTATATTAACACATCCTTTTTACCACCAGTATCACTCACCATTTGGTACTATGAATAGACCCCTAAGAGAGGGTCTGTTTCTGTTCATTTGGTCCCCAACATAAGCATCTGTTCACCTTTCTGCCAAATTTTCAAGGCCTGTTGTTATTTTTGACGTGAGTGTCGTTAAAATTATATTTTAACGGGGGGAGAATTTATATCTTTATAATAAGCTATCTGGGTATTACTGTGTTTTTCTCAACATTTATGTGTATGTGTTACATAGGTCACACGAAGAACGAATAGGTTATCTTTTATTTCTTTAAAGGTCTTTGGGTGTCCTTGAAGCTTTTGCCAGGGGACCTCACACAAGTTCAGAAGAATTTTTCACACTTGGTTGACAGATCAACAGCCATAGCCCGGAAGATGGGCTTTCCTGAAATAATACTGCCAGGTAAACGGCTTCTGCTCACCGGTTTGCTTTCCCCAGCAGCAGTTACTGCTAATTGGATAGTCGAGGCAACTTGGACCCATCAGATGGGTTATTTATGTTGAGTGGTTCTGAAACAGTGGGACATACAAACAGCCTTGCTTGAGTACCTTAGAAAGCTTGAGTACCCAAGGCCTGGCGGGGTGGCTCAGCCTGTAATCCCAGCACTCTGGGAAGGTGGAATTGCCTGAACTCACGAGTTGTAGACCAGCCTGAGCTAGAAAGCTACCCAGTGTACGAGGCCAAAATAACACTTTGTTAAACATAACTCAAAATTTTCTACTCCACGCCTGTAGTCCCAGCTCCTCAGGAGGCTGAGGCAGGAGGATCACCTGAGAACAGGAGTTCTGGGCTGCAGTGCTCTGTGGCAGTCAAGGGTCTGCACTAAGCTGGACACTGCCTAAGGGTGGGTGAACCAGCCTGGGTCCCACCTTGAGCAGGGCAAAACTCCTACGTTGATCAGTAGTGGGATTGCACCTGTGAACAGCCTCTGGCCTGTAGCCTGGGCAATATAATGAGATGCTATCTCCAGAAAAAAGAAAGGAAATTTCTACTCCTGCTCGTCTCCTTATATTCCACTCAGACCCTCCCAAATAGCAGAGGTTCTCGGTCTGGGACAGGGGTCCTCAAACTTTTTAAACAGGGGGCCAGTTTACTGTATCTCAGACCGTGAAGGGCTGGACTACAGGCCCCGGGACGAGTCAGCTGCTAAGCAGGACAGGCAGCGGTGGCAAAAAACACCTGGAGGCCCGTATAAATGTCCTCGGCAGGCAGCATGTGGCCCGCGGGCCGTAGTTTGAGGACGCCTGGTCTAGGAGATGCGTGTGCTCCATTTCCACATCCCTTTCTCTTAGATTTCCAGCACGTGGCTTCCTTGGTCTGCTCTGTCTCAGGGAACCCACTACTCCATCCTGTAAAGCTCCCCCGTGCTCTGGCTCTCCCCGTTCTTTTTGGTGACCAGACTGTAAACATCCTCCAGGTTCTCACCTCAGGTTCATCTTTCCTGCTGCCCGATGTGGGTGATCTTCATGTGTGTTCACACGAATTCACCGACTTCACCCATTTCCGTGCAAAATCCTCATTCCGGTAAAAGGAAATTGATCCCTAGAGGAACTTCCTGTATATTAATATAAACTAATTAATAGTGATAAAAATTCTAGAAAGCCAACCATGCCCTGTTAGAACAATTCTGGGAAAAAAACCAACAAATCTACTGCATGCAAAACTCAGGTTCTTTTAAAGTAATATGAGATCTTATTGCTCGTTTGGGAAATTAAGGGACGGTAATAATTCATTGCTGCACATATAATCTGCACATGGTGGGGATTGTGGAATGAATGAATAAAAGACTTAGAGGGTGGCGCCTGTGGCTTAAGGGAGTAAGGCGCTGGCCCCATATGCCAGAGGTGGCGGGTTCAAACCCAGCCCCAGCTAAAAAACTGCAAAAATAAATAAATAAATAAAAGAGTTAGAAAGTGAGATTTTCTTCTTCATTAAAAAAAAAAAAAATAGTTCTTTGTCTGTTTATTTCATCCATTTCAGAGCTATTTTACCCTACTACACATCATCACCATTCTGGGAAAATGTTTTGTCTTGAAGTGCTAAAGTGAGAATAGTTAATGGGAACAAAAGCATAATTAGAATGAATAAGATCTAGTCATCAGCAAAATAGGATGACTATTATTAATAATTTATTGTATATTTTAAAATAACTACATGAGTGGAATTGGAATGTTCCTAACACAAAGAAATGATAAAGGCTTGAGGTGATGGATTTCCTGTTTACCCTGATTTGATCATTACACATTGTACACCTGTCTCAAAACATCACACGTACTCTGTAAATATATACCACGTATAACTGTTACGTACCCATAACTAAAAAGAACGATTTAGAAAAGTACCAGTGCAGGAAATAAAAATAACTACTGGTAGTATTCTCTAACGGCAGGCAGTTTTACCATTATGGTGAGACAAGAATCTGAAAAAAATTAAGTAGAGAAATTTGTCCTTTGGGCAAAGTGAGTTTTTCTTTGAAATCTGGCTTGGTGTAGGTGGAAAGGTAAAATGAAGGAAGCTGAACAGAGAAGTGACAGACGGAAGACTTCTGTCCCATGAGTAGTTCATGACAAAGCCAAACCCTTTGACAGTTTGAGTATTTCATCAATGTCTTAGAATTGCACAAAGCTGAGACCTAAAAATGGCGCCTGCCGGTAACACTCACGGGATGGCTTGTCGCGTTGCAGGAGATGTTCGGAATGATATTTATGTCACCCTGATCCACGGCGAGTTTGACAAAGGGAAAAAGAAGACACCGAAGAACGTGGAGGTGACGATGTCAGTGCACGACGCGGAGGGCGAGGTGCTGGAGGTGGGTGGGGTCGCCCCGAGGGCCGGAGGCGGGTGGGGGGTGGGGTCGCCCCGAGGGCCGGAGGCTTTCAGGCGTTGCATTTCTTCTCCACGTCAGGTTGGGTTGGGTTTTTTGCAAGGTTTTAACAAAACCTGTTAAATTTGTGATTAACCATGACCAGTTTTACTAACAAAGTCATCGAGACACTTAAAAACAAGCATCTCAGTGGTGCTGGTACTGGCCACTAATGATTTCTTGCGGAAGCCTCCCATGTGGAGGTTCGTTCTTGTGGCCAAGTTATTTAGCCACTTTTAAGCTTCATCAGCTCCGCTGGGGCTGAGTGCAGTGGCCGGAGGGACCCAGTGGCACTGGAAGACACATTTCTTCTCCACCAGGATGGGAGAACTGAAGGAGATGTGTCCCCAGAGTCTGTCAAACTGGACGGGCTACCACTGACTGCTCTTAGATTTAATGATCAGGAAACTGCAGGAAATCATTTCTCTGGGAAATACAAGGGTCAGGGGCAGAGCTGGGAGGGGATCCAGGTCTCCTAATTTCCAGGCCAGAGTTCCTCCAAGTCTGGCAGCTTCCTATCCATATAGAGAAGTCAGTCTCGATTCTGACAGCACAGAGAAGGGTGTGGCGGGAGGCCTTGGCTGACGTCAGGCTCCCCTAGGGTAAGCGCTGGTAACCTGATTTGTAATGTCAAGTTCAAGCTCTTACTTAATGCACCAAATGTCCTTTTGCATCAGTCCTCGGGAGCTGTGAACTACGATCCCATCATGTCCCAGGGATGTTACAGTCTAGGAAGGAAACAGATACCCAAACAGCTTACAAAGTCAAGGGGCAGTCTGTGTTAGACGGACATGCAGAGTGCTGTGGGCCACCAGGCAGGAGTGGGTTATTCTGCCATTGATAGGAGTCCTCACACCTTACAAGCTCATTTCCAGTATGAGTCTCCTCCTGCTGGTCAGCACTCAGCTCTGCTAACCGGCTCAGAAGTGCCCCATCAAGGCCTGGTCCTGCTCAACTACGTGGTTTATTATAGGAAAGGGCACAGCCTTAAACTTGGCTGTACCCACACGCCAACCCCCCAAAGCAGATATGGACAGGAAGGAGAAATTCTTTCCTCGGGACAGGGGTACATCCACACTGGTGACGTAACTATAGTCACCATCATCAGGCCTCCTGTTCCTGAGAGAGGAAAGACAAAGAATTGGGAGGATAAAAGAGAGAATAAAGAGACAGAGGAATGTTCTGACGCTGCTGGGTCCCATAGCTGCTACCAGAGTTATACACTTAGACCCTCAGATAAAGTGGCAGAAAGTCTCTATTCTTCGTCCCCCAAGTTTAGCTTACAGATGCCCTTGTGCGGACGTGTTGGGAGTAGTGGGCTTGTGCACGGTACGTGGTGAGCATCCTCTTCATTATCCCGACAAAATTATCCCCTCTTCCTTTTCTTCTTCCATCCAAAGAAAGCAATTCATCCTGGTGCTGGCTACGAAGGCATTTCGGAATACAAGTCGGTGGTCTATTACCAAGTCAAGCAGCCCTGCTGGTATGAGACCGTCAAGGTGAGAATGAGTCTTCCGTGACCCTCGTCCCCTCTTCAGCTGTGTTTAGGTTCCTGTCTTCTCTTTTGCCCCCAAATCATTCCGACTTCACCCTGAAGCTTTGGGTGTACAGTAAGAAATGAATGGGTCATGCAGTTCTTTTAGGAGAGCCTGTAGCTTTCATAAACTCAGTCTTCCTCCGTACCGTTCTCATTCACAAATGTACAGAAATTTGAACGGAGAGACTTGGGGCTGCAGAGAGGTAGTAGGCTGCCAAGATGGTCCAAAACCAAACGGAAATCTTTACACAGAGTGTGCAGTCTCCTAACATTTTTTTTCTCCTTGGCTTCTAACCAAGTTTTCTGGGCCTCTTTTCAACTTAAATATGTGTGTTAGACGTTCCAAAGTGCTTTTCGGATCCGCCGTATCCTCTGAGCCCCGTAATAGAGCTGCAGCTGAAGCAACAGGTGCTGTAATGCCCTTGTTCTGATTAGGAACCGAGACGCCAGGAAGTTAAGTGACTTCCCAGGATCCTAGAGCTGACGAGTGTCAGAGCCTGACCTGGAGACTGCTTCTGAAACTCAGGCTGCAATAATTCTCTCCTTCTTTTCTTTTCCTTTCTTTCCTTCTCTATCCTTTTCTTTTTTGAGCGGGGATCAAGGTCTCATGCGGCTGCCTGAACTAGAGTGCACTGGTGCGATCACAGCTCACCAGAGCCTCAGACTCCTGGGCTCAAGTGATCATCCTGCATCCGCCTCCTGAGTAGCTAGGGCTTCGGGTGTCCACCACCACCCCTGGCTCATTTTCCTAATTTTTGTACAAATGGGGCTCTTGCTAGGGCTTAGGCTGCTCTCAAATTCCTGGCCTCAAGCGATCCTCCTGCCTCGGCCTCCCAAAATGCTAGGATGACAGGCGTTAGCCACTGTGCCTGGCGTTCCAGTAGCGCTTTCTGAAGTCATGTGAGCATTTCATAGAAAAAACACAAATTGCGCTCATCTCTCAGTTTAGAAGTAACCATTTCAACAATTTTATACAGTTCATATGTTCTGAGTGATGCTGTTTATATAAATGTGTATAGTGCTTTTTAAAACTACGTCTCTCTTCAGACGTGTATTTTTAGAGATAGGCATAATGTTCCAGTTTAGTTATCACCATGCCACAATTTAACTGCTCACCGCAGATTCTCTGCTCTCCTCATTGCCTCCTGGCGCCCCTTTTCCCTTACTGTGTAAATGAGCAGCAGGAAAACTTTTGTGCCCCCAATAGTTGATCTTTT